CCCGCCGGCGCAGGGTAGCAGGAAGCTCTCCACACACTCACCGGACCTGGGCTAGGACTGGGACTCACCTGGGCTAGGACTGGGACTCAATAATTTTTTAGATTTCCTTTAGTGTCACAACTTAGTAAGCTGTAACTTGATTTTATTTAAATAAAATGAGAAAGAAAGGCTTATAAAGACTATACAACTTGCTCAGTAACACAGAGCTAGTTATTTTCTGAAGCTGTGCTAAAATCCTGGTATCTCTGCTCCAACTGTTATACAGTACCAACTAATCAAGTGAAAACCAAGCATTATTTAACACCACTCAGCTTCCAAGGAACATCCTATTTTATCAGAGTTAAGAGAGACAAAAGCCATGCACAAGAACTCTGTATGTGCTATATAGTCTAACTATCCTTAAGAAAGCTTTTCAACCAGTAAACAAAGATATCAGCATTTTTTGTGAAAGAAATATGTAACAATTTGGTATCATGTTCCCTAATAATGTTATCTGCTGGTGTTCTTTTGTTTTGTTCGTTTTGCTTTTTTAAGAAGAGATCTCATTATGGAGTTTAGGCCTTGAACTCACTACATAGTCCCAAGATGGCCTCAAACTTGTGATGATCTTCTTTGCCTCAGCCTCAGATTACCATAGAGCACTTCTGCTGATGTTTTTAAAAGATCAGGACCAGCTTGAATTCTTGGAGTCTTGTTTCCTACATGAATACTGAGGATGGTGGCAAGGATATGTATACCATAGCAGAGCTCAGTTATATAACTGAACCAGCAGAAATTTCAAATTCAATTTGGAGTATACTCTGAAGACTAACATTTTTGATTCTCTACCTACCACTTACTTGACAGGAGTAAGTCATGTCTCTTTTTCTTACCTTTCTCTTGTAACAATTACATATTAATATAAACATGGTCATAGGATAGTTTTAAAGTAAAGAATTGATTTTAAAAATCTGTAAAGACACATAATGACTTGGGCTTTAAACTTCTACATATGACTTTAAACTCAAACTGGACTTTTGTCGTAATTCTATTCTACCTCCCATTTCTCAGGTACAGGATAATGCTATCATCAGTACAACATTAGAGATCTTTTTAAAAATCTTTTCTTCTCCCTTGTACTCCACAAATGTTAGAAATGGGTGAGCCAAATAAAACTCAGCCTATAAAACTCAAACTGATTATTTCATTTGACTGACCTTGAACTTGTAGGATGTATTCAAAGACAGATAACCACGACAATAATACTGACAGTGATGATGATGGTGAGAGCTATGTGCATATCAGTACTAAAATGCAGTCTCCTTGTCTACAAACACCATCATGAATTTTTGAGGCTGGATTTAAATTACCTAATCCAGGTTCATAACAAGTTTCTGATTGTAAATAAAATGTATTTTACATTAATTGGGAAAAAACCCTTGAGATTTCAAATTCTCATACTCATCATAAAATGAATTTAAAATTCTTCCACAAAGGAAAAATGTTTTCAAAATGTTAAAAGGGCAAATTGCTATTGTTATAATTTATAGATATTTACCATAAAACTAACTTTTGTTTTTCCTAATATTATGACATCTACTCTCTATAGTAATAAATTAACAATTCTATTCCGAAATCTTAGAGCTTATGTTCTGACACCTGCATCAAACAAGAGAAACAATTTAAAGAATAACTATATCTAGTGAAACAACAATTTCTTTAATGATCTGCCTTAGGTACTTCCAGTGTAGTTAGTGACTTGTACAGACTATCCATAAACTGTCCAAGCAAGAATTACTCGACACTAATTGCATCATATATTTAACTGTGCATCAAACCTGATGATCAAACACCAATTTCGGTCCTCCATCAGCAGCAGTATCTTCACTTAGTAACATCCATGTATTTGTGTCAATGTCGTAACGGTAGAAATCACTTTTCAGAGATTTGCTGTTCCTCACAGAGGAATCCAAATAACGTCCCAATGTGTAGATTTGCCTCCTTTGAATATCAATGCACATTTTATGACATGATCTGGCACTTGGGCCATTCTGTAAAGAGAAAAATGGGGCAGCAGCAAAAGAACAAAGTAATATTAAACTTTTTGTTCAGAAACATAAGAAGTCAACCATTGTGGATCTAACACTATATTTGAATCTCTGAAAGAAAGGAAAAGAAGCAGTAGGATCCAAATCTTATTCTTCAGTGCTTAACATCAACAAGGAAAGATGAGATGAACTATTCTATATCCCTTGGCACTTGTCTGTAACACCTTTATTGTTTCTATCATACACTGCATTGTACTTTGGTTACCTGTAAATACAGTTCTAGTCTTAATTACTTGACAATCTATATTTGGCCTTTAAAATTATTTTTATATTTCTCACCAGAATATAAAATAAAACAAGTACTTCAAGAATATTTAGAATCAATTTCAAAATTGGAAGAAATTTTAATGAAATTTCTAGTTTAACTCTTCCTTTTTAATGACAAGGAAATATAAGCCCAGAAAAGCCATCAGGTACATTACACAAAGTAGACTCTTTTGACTGAATAACACTACATTAAGTAACTAGGAATATTAAGAACATTATGTTACCAAAAAGAGAGAAACAGAGTTGAGAACACTTGTATAATAGCACTCAACAAAAGGTTAAAACAAAAAACAAACCTGTACTACAGCTTAAAGAGTTTATGGGGAGTAGCTTCAATTGAGCAAGATTGAGAGAGATGAAAGGTAGAATGAAAATAAAACCAATGAACTGATATTAATATTTCCTAAATTTGTTTATACTATTATTGTGTACATATATATGTATTATATTTAATAGTACTATATGGAAACATTATCACTACTTCAGCATTTACATAATTTGTTCACAGTCATAAAAGCTAAGATAGGAGACATAAGCCCTAGTGTAACCAGAGCCCAACACTCTTCAGTTCTATTTTAGCTATTTTTTCTAGAAGAAAAACAAAACCAAAAATAAACTTGTTAGCACAGTGCATGTGGTTATAACTATAACAAAGAGTTCCTATTGAAGAACAAAAATGAAATATAAAGTAGAAATAGGAAGACTGGTGAATAACCACCAGAGACTGGATATAATCTGTAGGCAATAAAAAAATTATTATAGGAACAATAAAAAACTATCACAGGTTCTTACAGTGAGCTATAACAAAAAAGCAATAGTACAAAAACAATGTAATAGTACTGATTAAACTAAGGAATATTAGACAGGAACAACAGTTTGATAATTAGTGTTTAATCCAGTACTAAAATAATCAAAGATTATCTATTTTAGTACTCACATAAGTTAACTTTTAAAACTTATTTCTATATATTTTTGTCAAGATTTCAGCAGATAAGGTGAAAATTTTACTTAAAGAATCTTTTCCATGATTAAAAATTTCAAAAAAAAAAAAAACAAAAAAATTCAAAAATAAAGGGGGAGGGCTGGGAATGTAGCTCAGCGGTAGAAGACTTGCCTCATATGCACAAGAGGATCTTGGTTTCAATCCCTAGCACTTTAAAAAATCCACAAAGATGGAGTAATATGCAATAAACCTATATTTTAGATGTAAAATCTGAAATCCTACTAGGACAGTAACAGCGCAAAGAGTATTACTGTATCTATGCTTTAGCTAAATTAGCACAAGTACAATTATTATTATTTTTTAATTTATTTTATTATTATTTTTTTTTTGGCAGAACCAGGGATTGAACTCAGGCCCTTGCACTTGCCAGGGAAGGACTTTTCTACTGAGCCATCTCTTTGACCCCACAAGTACAATTAAAATGATGAGCAAATTATATATAAGTAATACAGGGACCAGCAAGATAGCTCAGTGGTCTAAAGTGCACCACAGTACAATCCCTGTCACCACGTGCCACACCAGCCGGCTTAGTGGAATAAGCACTTCCCTGGCAAGTGCAAGGGCCTGCGTTCAATCCCCAGTTTTGAAAAAAAAAAAAAAAAATAATAATAATAATAAAAGAAATGAAAGACAAACAGGACTACAGACTTTAGAAAAAAAAGAAAAGGAAGTCTTATTATGAAAATCAGGTAGAAGTGGGCAATGCAGATAAAATATACATGTTCCCTGAAAAAAATCTAACAGCAAGATGACTTGATGGAAAAAGAAAAATGTAATGTCTTTGCATCTACTGAAAAATTGAATTCATAATTTAAAGTCTTTCCATAAATATATCTGTAGGCCTAGATACCAAACACTGGCAAATTTCATCAAATATTAAAGAAGAAATTTTATCAGTTTTAGACAAAATGTTTCAGAAACAGAGTAAGAAGACCTATTTTTAAAAAAATCTGCACTGTAATCTACACACAACTTAATTTTGTGAGGGAAACATAACAATCAAATAACATTATTAAAGAAGGAAGAAGAGGCAGAGTAGGAGGAGAAGGGGAAGGAAATAAAAAAAAAATTTACAGGTGACAAGTATCTCTTATGGACATAGATAAAAATTAACCTTTACCAATACATTGTCAAATGGAATGTAACAATATCATGTATGAGAAAGTATCTCACAACAAAAGGGGCTTAATCTTAGGAATGCAAAGTTGCTTTTACACTGAATAATCTATCAGGGCAATTTATTACATTAACAGTGTAAGAGGGAAAACAGAACTTTAACCCTAAGCAGCTATTTTTAACAAAAATGTGTCAGCATAAGTTTATAACTATAATTTTAAATTAACTGATGAAGAAATTTTTAAAGTTTTCATTTCTTAATACAGCAAGTGTTCAATAGATAAAACCCAAATAAACTTGAGCATACCAATGAAGTTTTGCCTAAAAGCATAAAGGGATTCTGAAACTATAAAGTTAGAAAAGCACTAGTATAACTAAAGCCTAGTAAGAAGAGCTGTATCTAATTCTTTTCTAATCCATAATTCATGAAGTCAGAAATCTTTGAAACAGCTATGATTTTACAAAACATAAAGTTCATTACCCTACTTACTTTTAACAAAAAGCTATAATCCTGCCTTTCCAAGATGTCTCTTACTATTAATTTTTTTTTTTTTTTTTTTTTTTTTTTTGCGGAACCAGGGATTAAACTTACGCTCTTGCGCTTGCTGTAGAAGTGCTTATTCCACCGAGCCATATCCCTAGCCCCAAGGCTTTTTATTTTTTATTTTATTTTTTGGCAGAACTGGGGATTGAACTCAGGCCCTTGCATTTGCCAGGCAAATGCTTATTCTACTGAGCTATCTCCCCCGCCCCTTTTTTTAAGACAAGGTCTTGCTATGGAGTTCAGGGCCTTGAACTCACTTTGTATAGCCTTGGCTGGCCTCAAACTCCTGGTAATGCCCTCTTGCCTCAGCCTCCCAAGTACTGGGATTACAGACATGCATTACCACACTTAACTATAAATTTCATTTTTATTAACAATCATGGGCTGGCAAGATAGCTCAGCGGCTTAAGCACCTGCGTGGCAAGTGCAAGGTCCTGAGTTGGATCCCTGGTACCAAAAAAAAAGAAAAAAGAAAAAAAATCATAACTTACAGCCACATTACAAAATACTAAATTTTTATAGTTAGCTTTAAAAAAAACTGGAAAAACTGGATTGGAGCTAATAAAAATAAGTATTAACCACTTTGAAGAACAATACATTTGTTTACAATCTATAAAAATTTCCTTGGGGCTGGTGAGATGGCTCAGTGGTCTAAAGCACCTACTTGGAACAAGTTTAGCAAAGCACAGGGACCACGGTTTAATCCCCAGCACCACATGCCAGCCAGCCCCGCCCCCTGCTGGGCTGAGCTGGCCACACACACACACACAAATAATAAATAAAAAATAATAATAAATAAATAAAACATTTAAAAAAATTTCCTTTATATCTACATAAACATTCAAATAATATTCTCATTAAGAACTGAACTATTATTTTTCAGTCTCCTAAATGTTCTATTAGATACATATTTAAGTAAATCAAAGTGATTAATTTTTCTTTTTAATTGTGTTTTGCTTTTAAAATACAATGCCCTACAGTAGCATCAAACAATAACTTGTACTCATTGGTATAAAAATTAGGAAAGAAAAAAATGTGAAAAAAGAAAAAAATGGAAACAAAATTTTTGTAAAAGAGAGGAAAGGGGCTGAAGGAAGAGTAAATGAATGGGGAAAAAAGACTCATATGTGATGTACAGGTACGAATTCCCTATGATGAATATGATCATGTATACCTAAAGTGTACAAATAAACTTAATTAAAAAATGAGAAAGTAGATCAAAACTTTCAAAAAAATTATATATGAGTAACTGAATTTTATAAAAAATGAACATTTAAGCTATAGCCATAGACTGCAATTCAATTCACAGATGATCAACAAAGGTTTTTAGGTTTCTATGTGAAAAAAAGAGTAATAAATTATAAAAACACTGAGGTGGTGTCTCACCATTTTACTTATTTTTATTAACTTTAAAATAGCCAAATTTTCCTATCAAAATAAATACAGTTATGTTTTAGAACTGATTTTAAAGTAACTATTAAGTATATTATGAATATTACTTATAACATGTATTAATAAGTACTGGCATGAATAGTTACCTACCTGTAACTGTTCCATCTTAGAACAACGGTAGTACTTTTGAAATTCCCTGTAAACTCTACCCCAAAGCAGCCACTCTCCTAAATTTTGTAGTATTTATCAGTTCCTTGCTCTTCTCTAGCACTGTTTATATAGCATGCCCTATTTATTTACTACCTATTTGCTCCTAGGAGTAAGCATACATCCTTAAAATACATAAATTCTAAAGAATATAATTCATGCCTTTATTTAGAGGGTAGGTAGGGAAGCAGGAATATAACCTAACATTATGTCCTAATCAAGAATAAAAAGGGTTAAGTGGGCACAGCACAGGAATTTTTAAATTCTGCTTAGGGAAAATATGATTCTCATTAGAAATGAGTTTCAAATAGTTAATAAGGTATTTCTAGGTAAAAGCTAGGAGAAAGATCCTCTGTTGATCCCAATCGTGAAAACACTGCCAAGTGACAGTAAGTCAGGATATAAGGCTGGTAA